AGGCACTCCTAATTTTCATACAGACCCCAAACATGTGATACATCATTTTAAAGGTATTTTAATGTTGATTATTATCGCATTAAAAGATTTGTTTAAGATTTCAAATTATTATAGAAGAAAGTGAAAGAATTTCTTAAAATTTAATGTTTTGACTGTTGAGGCAATATTTATGAAACGACCCCAAATTCAGTTCCTGTTATGGGCAAATCCACGAAACAAAAAATTTTTTTTACAAAATTTTTCAATTTAAAGTAATTATTTCTCTCTTATGTCACATTATTCAAAACGATTGTATGTTTTAATAAATGCAATGATGTGAATAGAAGAACATAAAAAAAATTTGCTTCTCTATAATCGTTAATTAAAGAAAAATTTGACTTTTTGTAAATCTTCCTGAGTCACATTTTAGCGGAAAACATCGAAAAATTCAATTATCTCAAAAAATATAAGTTTTTAAGCGACATTGATCAAAAAGATCTGTTCCTTTCATGTTGTAGCATTAGATAATTTAGCAAAATGTAGATGCTTAGTGGAAATTTGTTGATAAATTAATTAATTTCTTGAAAATTTTCTTCCTGAGTCACACAAAACGCTTTACCACAGAAATATACTAGTTCAAATTTTTCATAACCGTTAAAATATTTGAATTACAAATTTCCGTTAAATTTTGTTGACATTTTCGAGCTCAAATCTTATTCAATTTTCGATAATTAATGAAAATTTTAATTAAATAGATGTTTCCGATGCCTTTTAATGACTTTTAAATAATATAACTGTGCTTTAAATTAATTTTTAAGATTATTTTCAACAAAAAGATAAACAAATGATAACGGTTTTCTATTTTTCAAAAAAACTTTAAGCAAGTAGAGGAATAATTACAATGCGATTTTTTGTAATTCCACAGCTTCGTGGATTTGCCCTTATTTAAACTACATAAAAAAGTGAATCAATCAGCAAAAGTTTCATATTCATATCTTTTACAGTTCTTGAGTTATTAGCGTTTGAATTTTGAAGCTTGGGCCCTTCAAAAATGATATAACACTCATGGGAATAAATTGGAAACCTTTAAAAGCTCTGTTGATTTTTAAAGGCTCTTAAAACCAAAAGGAATTTTTAATTTCTACTATTCTGATCAAAAGTCATTAGCAGTTCATTTTACATTGACTTTGAACCGATACAAAACCGATAAAACCGTTTCAAAAATTCCAAAAATGGCGAAATCGTATAGCTGAAATAGAGGCCTTTCCAGCAATATATACTTTGTCATACTTAATTTGGACCATAAATTGGCTATAGTTCATTCAATGTCGTCAAATGACTTACGACAAAACTGCTAAGAATCATCCATAATGGAGGAGTGTGTACACAAAACAAGAGTTATGAGAAGTAATAATCTGCTATCTTTCATATTATTATGCACAGAGGATGTAAACGAATCGATCAATATTTATTGCATTGTTCAATTAGATGTTTAACGCCAATATATTGCAAATAAATGTGCGATTAAAGGCAATAAGACTTAGAGTGAGAGGAAAAGCACAATCATGACAATCATACTCATTGCTTTTGAATATGGAAAATAAGGAACATTTGCATGTAGACATAACATAACATACAATGAAAATTGAAATTCGTGCTATAAAGCAGACGTGAAAATTGGAAAAATCTATTGAACAAAACTTACACAATAAGCATGGCAATAAAATATTCATTATGGGATGTACAAACTCAAAGAGGAGGCAATTATGATAATGCAGTCATTATTCTCATCGAGTATCACTTGTTGAATACATATTATGTCCTCACTTTCTATTCGAATCCTATGCTCTACTCCTAATAATGATTTTATTCTCCTGCTGCCGATATCCGGACATTTTCATTATGATACAAGTTTTCATTTTTTTTTTGAATTTATACTAAAATGAGACAATTGGGATTTTTGATTCCATCTTGCACCTGCTATTTTACGACAATATCCCTTTTTAGCGCATTTTTGAAACTTGTTTCTAAAAGGTAGCTTAATATCTCACTTTGTCTGTTCGTTCGGGCGAAGAAAAACTTTTTAACTAGACATCGTAGAGAGTTCTAGTTTGTTTTATTAGTTCAGGTCCATTGTTTTATTTTCGGGAAACGCATTTAAAAGTCTTGAAACAGTCTTTTTGTCCTATAATTAATGATTTTTCTATTTCATATGAAAAACACGTGATGAGAGCGTTTAGGAGTGCCTATTAAAATAACGAATTTTAAAATTTCGAAACTTCATTTTTACGAACATTTCATTTTTACGATCATATCATTTTTACGAAAAATTATTTTTTCGACTTTCTTTATAAATTTTAAATTTTGAAATGTCGTTAATTTCATCACGTGTTCTCTTCAATAATAAATCTGCAAAAAAAAGATTAATAGAACAAATGTTTTTAAATGTATGGAATTAAAACGTATTTTTTTTTCAATATCACATTTTATGGACTACATGTGTATGTTAAAAGGAGCAATAAACACAATTAAGCTCTTAAATCATTTTTGACTACTGCAATAGCCTTTAATGTTTCAATGGAAAGAATTTGTGTCCATCGAAATGGATATCGACAAATATTTGGCTGGAAAGCCACAAAAGTATAGAATGCCAGGTTTTTAAAAGACAGAGAATTCCATTAAATCAATCCTGAACCGTCGACAATCCGTGCCACGAGTTGAAAGATTAAAGGCTATTAATCTTAATAAAGGCAAGTAGTCAAAAATGATTTAAAAGCTTAATTGTAATTGTAACGAATAAAAAATACGTTTTAATTCCATACATTTAAAAACATTTGTTCTATTAATCTTTTTTTTGAAGATTTATTATTAAAGAGAACACGTGATGAAATTAACGACATTTTAGAATTTGAAATTTATAAAAAAGTCGAAAAAATAATTTTTCGTAAAAATGATATGGTCGTAAAAATGTGAGTTCGTAAAAATGAAGTTTCGAAATTTTAAAATTCGTTATTTTAATAGGCACTCAGCGTTTAGAAATTCGAATTTATTTCTACCGTTAAAAATTTTTGAATCTCAAAAAACCGTTGAATTAAAAAGCCTTTTTATATGAAAATTTTTTGCAGCAGACTGTTATTTATACTATACTGGGGGTTCTCGATTTGAGTAGTTGTTTTGTTCCAAAAAATTTCTACTAAAATCGAATCTATTCAAAACGAGGCAAAGAATCCATACAAAATTACATGTTTTGTTCCAGAGTCCAAAAATGTATCAAAACAATGAAAATTTTGATAATTTTTTGCACATTTTACCTCGTTGCTTAACTTTTCCTATGTGTTTTAGATACATTAATTTATTTCAACGCATATTCATATTGTTTTTAAACAGAAATTCACAAAAAATATGTTTTTGAAACAAAACAAAAATATGAGAACATTGCAAATGTTATTTCTTTGAACAATTTGTAAGGTTTTTGAATTTGAACTTTTTAAACCCGTCAATTTTGTATCGATTTTTTAAATTTTTACTTTAATTTTGTAACTTTAGTATTGATTTTTCTATCAATATAAAAGTTCACGTTTATTGCACTAAAATTTATGTTTTAAAAATATTTTCTGAAATGTTTTTATCAAAAATATTTGTTTTGTAAACAATTCAAATCGAAGAAAATAGGAAGAAATCTACTCAAATCGAATATTTTGTTGGGCAAAAATTTTTCTGTTCAAATCAAATCTACTCAAATAGAATCTACTCAAAACGAGGACCCCCAGTAATTAATGATTTTACTGTAACTTTTGGCAAGATACTTTCAAATGCATACGACCGCTACAAAATTTGAACTTCAGAAAACCGTTAAATGATAAACAATTTATATAGGAGAATGAAAGATATTAAATTGATAAATATACTATAATTAATGATTTTTTGTATATCTTTTGGCGGGAAGCTTTCAAAAACTTACTGACCGTTAGAAAATCTCAATTAATCATTAAATGATAAACTTTTTATATACAGAAATTCATTGCTACAAATTATTAATTATACTCATTATACTATAGTAATTGTTTTTGAAGTGCAACTTTTAGCGGGAAAATTTCAAATTATTTTTTGACCGTTAAATAACAAAGCCTTTCTATATAAGCATTCATTGTAATTATTTGTTAATTGCACTAAAATTAATGATCTTCTAATCTTCTAATGATCTGTAAATGAACGCAAAATAAATAGATAATCAGATACTGATCGCTAACACAAAAATGCGCTTAAGTCCCTCGATCAATAACACGAGGACTTCTGTAATTTTTTAGGCAATATTATGAAATATCCTTTGAAATGTATTTCAATCATTTTCATTTCCTATTACAAAATTATTTTTCTTTTGTGTGTGAATCTTTTTTTAGGTCCTCTTATGTATTATTGTGGAACGTTTTGACTGCTATTAATACTGAATGTTTTTTTCTATTTTGGGGGGTTCAGTAATGACACATTACTTTAGCAAATACACAATATAACCGAAATTTTCAAATATTTTTTGCATATATTAGAGATTCAAATCCTACAAAACCGATAAAATTTTAAATCTTACAAAACCGTTAAATATGTGATCAGAAAAATTCAGAAATTGTAAAATGAGCACTTTAAAAATCATTTAATGATAAGCTTAACGCCTTTACCGCATCATTATTGAATAATGAAAAAACCTTTGAAAGGAAATAAATAAATAAATTATGATTTATCTTTCTCTAAAAGTGCATCAATTGGCTGTCTGAAATGAAAAACCTTTTAAATCAACCGCATTTCTGTTTGTGTAGCTTGTGATGGAAAATCGTTTTATCACCGCAAAAATTGATTTTCAATTTCCCTTTTGAATGTGACAAAATTAAGTTATCGTCATGAAAATGCACAGTTTTCCGCTTTGTGTATTTTCAGTATTGCTAAAGACATAAATCGACTATAAAGATTTTATTTTTTTTTGCTGTGGAACAAACAGAACAGAATCTGATAATTGAAAGACATCACTCTGTGATGAACGATAAAGAGAAGACAAAAAAAATTTTATTAAAGATTTTTTTTTAAAAAAAATATAAGAAATTTAAGTTTAATTAATCACAAATGTTTTGCTTTAAATCTCAAACCATACTTTCCTTGCTGGATGAGATACGCGGAGTTGATAGTGGAGCTTTAAATTCAGACTTTCTTGTTACTGGTCGATTTGTACTTAACAATCCTTGTTGATTGGCAGTGGATGGACGAGTTATTGATGATAAACGACGATTTGTTGACAAATTTGATCTTGGTAGATTTGTGCTTGTTCTAGGTGCAGCCATTGTTGTTGGACGACTTTTTGCAGGCGATGCTTCACTAATTTTAACAGCTGGAATATTAGTTTTTAATGATATAGAACGACGAACATTTGTTGGTGGACGTGGTGGAAGATTTTTGGATGCAACATGTGCATTTGCATTCGTTTTTAATGGACTTTTATCCATTTTGTCCATTAAAGACTTCCGAACAGTTCCAATATGAAGTTTCTGCTCATATGGATGAGGTGGCTTTGCCATTGGTCGTGGAGCTGTATATGAGCTTCGTCTAACAGCACTTGATGTAATTGTTGTCGATGGTTTCATTGGAGTCGATAATTTCTTATTTTCGATTCCTTTAAATGTCGTGTTTGGACGCTGTGTACTAAATGAAACACTTCTACGTGTTGTATTATTCTGCTTTACAGGAGTTACTGCTGGAGTTATATTAGGCATAATAACAACAAATTTAGTCTGATTATTGTGATCATTTGATACATTCAATGATCCAACATCAAGACTTTGAGCACCAAAGAGTTTTGCAAGCTGTTCCATTAATTCGTTATTAGAACTGGCATCATTGTCTTCAATTGTGCTGCTATTAAGATATTTACGCTTTCCAGTTGATTGATCTATTTCAAATGTATCTTGACGAATCATTGGCTGGACCTGAAGTGTGGATTTTCTTGTCTCATTTCCACCTAGCAAGTCATTTAATTTCTTTAATTGCTTCTTTGCTTCAGCCATATTATTATTCTTCATTAATGATTTAAAATTTTGTAGAATGTCGTCGATATCACAATCAGTCTTTTGTGTTGTTCCTGTTTGTGGCGCTTCCATTTTCTCCTCTTTTACCACAACAATTTCTGGCTTTATATCAAGATCGCTCTTTTCCCTCTTAATAAGCTTCAACTTTTCATGAATATCCTCAATATTGTTGGACGATTTTTCATTATTTGTGCTGGACGGAATCGATTTTGAGGTTTCAGGATTATTTTCAAGAAATGAGATTTTCATCTGCTCTAAATCTGTATCGACTATGGAAACAGCAGACGTATCGACTAATTGCTGGCTTATATTATTCAAGTCTTCAAATGACATTTCATTAAAACTGCTTAGTTTTTCCGATATTTTCTTTGCTTCCTGAAAAACAGTCTCAATCAAGGAACCGTCGAGTGCTGTACGAGATGAGGAATGTAGAGGAGAATTTGGTGAGTTTAATAAACTCAATTTAAGCAGTTGATTAGTTTTTGATGAAAGAATATTGTCGACTGAACTGTATCGACTTGTATCTTCAGATGTTGATGCTGTGCTGGAATCTGATTGACATCTCTTTAATGTCTTATTTTTATAGCTTGTTGATAACTCTGAGTCATTATCAGCAATGAAACTACTCGTTGTTGATGTTGCAGGCGATGGATCTGTAGAATTTAGGACATCCATTTTAGCATTCATTGATCCAAGGAGTGATCCTAATAGCTCGTTATCTGACAACCTGGTATAGTAAATTTGGTGAATATTAGTTAAATTGTAGCTTAATTAAATTAGATTTGTTGCTTACTTATCGGTTTTAATTGCTTCATCACTATTTCTGGATGTTGCAAGTTTATTATGTTCAAGGCACTCAAATGGATCCTCCGAATGTGTGATTCTATACTCCAAATTATCAAATGGATTGTTTAACTCAAAACTTAACCGATCATTAATTAATAAATGTTGTCTGAAGATATTTTTGTTCAAATTCTTTGTCGGTTCCACAGAATTTTCACTTTTACTCTCGTTTTCATCAAAATTAATCAAGTTTTCCATCTGTAATAAGTAGTTTATGTATAAATCTAGCACTTAATTTTATTCTATGTTGATTAAAATACCTTGAAACAGCATTAAATTAATATTTTTAAACAAATTTTAAAGACACGATTTTTAAAATAAATTTAAACAAAATGACGGTTAAATTCAAATGTCTAGAAAGTGCTTTTGTAAATAACGTCACACAAAAACATAAAACCACTTAATATATTTGTACCTGAAAGGAACGACTGCATATTAAGTGAAATTTCTGGATGTTCAGTAATTGATGAAATTTTCTGGTTCACTGGATCTTTCAAAATGGGTCAAAACTTGTCATATAAAGCAATTTAAGTAATAAATTATTTCGAACGAATTTCTCCATACTTACAGATTAAAGCTCAAAGTAGAAATTGAATAAACTTATTCATAAATTTGAATTATAGATAGAAAATCGTTTATATTTAAAAATCAAAAAACGGAAAAAATTAAGTATGTTTAGCTGCATGACATTCTGAAAACTGCTGAAAACAAGCAAATAAAAGGAACAGTAATTCAATTTGAAATATATATGGTTAAGATGTTATCCATACTCTTTATTTTCAAATACATTAAGAATGTTTTGTGTTTGATTTTACAGGTATTTAATTAAAAATTCTTATGATGAATTAGCATTTGGTCCACGACGACGTCCGAATCCTTGCACAACATTTGCAAATCGGCGATTGAATTGGATACGTCTCTTTGCACGACCTGTCTTCTTCTTTCTTTTTTCCTGTTTCTCTACTTTTGGTGTCTGACCCTTAACTTTACCAGCACGAGCTAAAGAACCGTGAACTTTACCTCCCAACATTGGTACTGTAAGGTCCAATTCGATGCTGCTAAGGGATGAAATAGTGTCTTCATCAGCCAAGATTTTTCCTTCACATGAGAGCGTCAAGTCAGCATCCATAACATTTTCAAGGATTGCTAATTTTGCCTGCAATAAAGCAAGAGATTAATTAGTCATTTCGTAATAATAGGAAATAAGCATGTTTGTAATGAAGTTTTAAGGCAAAACTCTGTGAAATTATTGAGTATGTCTTCATGGATCAAAACAATTTTATTTAGCAGAAGTTGGAGGTATCACTAGACTATTTAGAGTCAAGAGATTCGGTATATCTGCATGTGATAATCATTTAATTCCATAATATTGATGATTATCATAAAGTCGTGTAAGAAGCACCGCTCGGGAGTTTTAAGCATTGAAACTAGCTCAAAATCCTCATAAAGATGAGCTTATTATTATTGCAGCCTTTTGGAAGGTCAGTAACACATTAGTATTAGTTTAAGGACCAGCTGAGTATCTGCGTGTGATAATAAGTTCCATAATACTAATTATTATCATAAAGTCGTGTAAGAAGCACCGCTCGGGAGTTTTAAGCATTGAAACAAACTTAAAATCCTCATAAAGATGAGCTGTTCAATATTGCAGCCTTTTGGAAGGTCAGTAACACATTAGTTTTAGTTTAAGGACCAGCTGAGTATCTGCGTACAATTAATTTACTTGTTTGGGTCGATTTAGCTTACCTTGACATTTTCAATAGTTTCGCCTGGAATTACTTCCAAGACGTGCGTTTGTTGTCCACGAATGTGTAATTGCATTTTGACGATCTAAAATTATAATTAAGAAAAAATTGTTTTTCAGTAAAAATGCAGGTTATAAAATTTATTTACTTAATTAAACTCTCAATCCATTGCTTTATCAATAAACTTTATGCTAAGCATAAACTTTTGATAGTTGAGCACATTTTAAGATATTTTTCAGTAAGTTTAATTCAGTTTTAACTTGTTAATTTTAATAAATAAAAATTATTCACCTTCACAAATCGAGCAATATAAAGAAAAGAAAGATTTGTACTTTCGTTCCCTTTATTTTTATAGCAAATTGAGTATTTTATAGCAACGGTTTTATAGCAAATATTAGAGAGTTCAACAATAAAGTAAATTTTACAATTTTATCAGCCAATACATCACATAAATCAATACAATTAATAATTACGGGTATATAACATCCATTGTAAGTAAATCACATAATATATCATAATTGTAAATATACAGAAACATTAAAAATATGATCAACACTTATGTTTACATTTGAATAGCTTTAATTTTAATTAATTAATTTGACATTTTAGTGATCGAAGAAGATGAATTTGAGCGAGGTATGTAGACTTTGTCTAGTCAAGTCTATGAAAACGTGTGAGGAGCTATTCTTTCCAATTGATGAGGTTTTTGAGAAGAAATTCAATGAAGTCACAAGTTTAACATTGGACAGTTCCGAGCAATTCCCGTCTACAATCTGTATATCATGTGTCACAGAGTTTGAGGATTTCTACAATTATAGAAGTGGATTGATGCAAAAGCAAAGAAGATTAAATTTGTTATTAGGGATAAAGGAAGAAAGTGCTGTCAAACCTGAATTTACAGTCAAAAAGCAATTAGAGGATATCCAAAATGAATCTCAATATGAGGAAAACCTACTAGAACAGGAAGATGAATTAGATGAAAATAAGCTATACGAGAATCCAGAAATGGAATATGAAGAAAATGAAATCGAATATCAAGAACAGGAACACGATGATATTAATGAAACTGACAAAATGATGGTTTTTGAGGAAGTGCTTGAGCACGAAGAAGAAAATGAAGGCGAGACATACGAGGTAGAATTATCAGAAGAAAGTCACGTTTATGTAAGAGATTGTGATGTTGAGGAATTTGTAGAATCGACAGATGAGTGTGTAGAGGAACTAGAGCATGTAGATGACGAGCAAATCCTTTTTGCCATAAAAGAAGACGATCTTAGTGATAATTGCATAATAGTCAAGACAGAAGACAGTTACCTAGAAAATATATCAATCGGAAAACAGAAACGGAAGTACATTAAGCAGGAAAAAGAGAAAGAAAAGCTTTTTAAGTGCTGGATGGAGAATTGTAATGCAGCATTTTCATTCAGATCCACAATGAAGAAGCATATGACACAAATGCATATGGTTGTCTGTGATAAAAAGACATGCTTAATGTGTGGCAGGCAATTTGAGGAATATTCAGATTTCCTTAATCATGTAAAGAAGCACACAAGAAAGTCAGAATGTCACATTTGCAAATTGACATTTGTGTCTGAAGAAAAAATGCAAGCACATCTCGAAAGAGTCCACAAAAATGATCAGAATGAGCGCTCATTCCATTGTCATGTAAGTTAATTAATTCATTTTACATAAAATAACTGATTATGTATTCTTTTACAGTTATGTGATGCATCGTTCAAGCGGAAAGAGCATGTAAATTCGCACATTGTATACAGGCACACAGAAAATCGTCAATTTTCATGTAAAGACTGTACCTCAACGTTCCTAACTCGACAAGATTTAAAGAATCATGAAAAATCACATCAGCAACTAAAGAAAAACTGTGCGTACTGCACATATGAATGCCGTGATTTAAAGTCTATAAAGCTTCATTGTCTAAAACTCCACAATACGACTAAAATCTATAAATGTGCATGCGAGGAAGCATTTGACATGCACAAAGATTATCAGAGCCATAAGAAGAATTGCTATAGCGTTGTTGACAGCACGACAACAGAATAGTTTTGTAGTTAAGTTAATATATATTTTTTTTTTCAAAATAAACTAGGAATAAATTGCATTTTATTATTTTAAATTCCTTATAACGAGCGATTTTTATATAAATTAACTGTTGCTTTAAAAAATGATCTATTTTTCATAACCATTGTGTCTTATAATGTCATTTTGGGTGTTATTAAGCTCAATTTTTCAACGAAAGACAAAAAAATTTCAAGTCAACATTTTAACGGAATCTTTAAGTTTAAATTTTATGTAATGTTCGGCTGTTTTTGCAAAATTTCTCTACTGAACGACATTTTAGAAAATTCTTTCAAAATCCTATGTTTCAACTATAAATGCGCTCTAGCATCACTTACATAAAACTTTTGGAAACATTTTAAACTCGGACGATTATCTCGTGACCAAAATAATCAATGGAAAATCAAGAAAATCCAAATAATAAGAAAATGGGCTTTAACAAGACTCCAGAAGAAAATTCCAACATTGACGAGCATTCTCATGCAACCAACGAGGATCTTGAAGGTAATATAACTTACAGACAACGACTAAGAACAGTGATTATTTGATTTTTTATAGAATTTAATAGCGTTTCTGAAGAAATAGACAGCATAAACAATTGGATGGATTCTTTAGAGAACAATGTCGACAGCATAAAGGTAGCATAATACAGCATAATTAAAACAATAACACTAAAAAGTTCATTTACAGGATCAACTACTGGCAATATTATCCTCAAATCGAGAACTTCTCAAAGAGCTGAAGGAACAAAAAGCTCAAGATACTGATAAGGCAAAAGAGGATGGAGAGAAGCCAATGGAGAATTAAAATAATTCCCGCTTATAACTTTATTTTATTTATATGATGGAATATATTTATTGTACAGTATTAAAGCGTTTTACTTGCTTGAAAAATTTAATTAAATTTATTGAATCTTAAAATAAAATTAACGGAAGAAAACATATTCAAAATATTAGCTTCGATTTAATAGTTTCAGTAATTGTGAGCATTGCTTGTCTACATGCCAATCGTTAAGTAAGCAAAAATCAGCACAGATAAAGCCCTCGTGGACATTTCGTGAACTAATTTAAGCATAATAAATCAAGAAAAGATTAAGGAACTACCCTGTACAAATTGATTCATAACACAGTCGAAGCGCTTCAGGCAAGGATTATCGTGTGCCATTGTTACTTTAAGAACTGTACGAAGAAGGGACGTCCATTTTTGAAAAAGAAAAACACAAAAAAAAAACAAAAAAAAAGATTAATTAAAGTTTCATGGACAGCGGTGTGGAAATGAAGCCTCCGAATATATCAATAATAGACGGAGGTCCAACAAGACATGTAGAAAGGAAGTCTGCAGCTGCATCGGTTGATGTTGCACAGAAAATAACAACAAAAAAATCGACCTCAATAAGAGAGCAACAAATCGGGAAATATAGACTATTAAAAACGATAGGAAAAGGCAATTTCGCTCGTGTAATGCTCGCCAGACACTTAGTTACGAACAATGAAGTGGCTATAAAGATAATTGATAAGACACAATTAAATCCCAATTCATTGGAGAAATTGTTTCGGGAAGTGTCAATAATGAAAATTCTACAGCATCCAAACATAGTTAAATTGTATGAAGTAATTGAAACTGATAAGACTTTATATCTCGTCATGGAATATGTGAATAATGGCGAAGTATTTGAGTATTTGGTCAAGAACGGACGAATGAAAGAGAATATCGCGCGACAGAAATTCAGGCAAATTGTATCTGCTGTTCAATATCTACACAGTAAAAAGATCATCCACAGAGACCTTAAAGCTGAAAACCTCCTCCTTGATCAGAATCTCGATGTCAAGATTGTTGATTTTGGATTCTCGAATATGTTTGTCGAAGGTACGTAAAAATTATTTTTAATTCTCTATTATTTACTACTTTTCTTTCCTCATTATGTGACCTTGCGTCGTAAAAAAAAATATTTGAAACACACAAACGTTTATAGGGATTCAAATTCATATGCCTGCCTCCTCCTCCTCCCTCATTTCTTTCTTTATCTCTATTTACATTTTCGATTAACATTTTTATTTCTATTTTTCGCTTTCTCGTTTACACACACAGGTAATAAAATGGACACATATTGTGGCAGCCCTCCTTATGCTGCTCCGGAACTATTTCAAGGCAAAAAATATGATGGTCCTGAAGTCGATGGTAATTAAAATGGCATTTAAATTCTTTTACATGCATTGTTCTACATAATTTATTCTTGTTTCTTTCTTCCCTTCTTATTTTGTCTTGTCTTTTCTGACAACGACAATACACAGTTTGGTCGTTGGGCGTTATTTTATATACACTTGTTAGCGGTTCATTACCGTTTGATGGAAGTACATTGAGAGAATTGCGAGAACGTGTAATCCGTGGAAAATATAGAATTCCATTTTATTGTAAGTTGACTCTTAGCTTTCTTATTTTATGGTTTTTAGCTCTTATGTGCGCTTGCATGCATCATTAATGCTTTTTGAATGATTAAAACAATTAACGATTAAATAACTTTCAAATATAATCCCATACAATAAGTTTGTTTACCTTAATTCAGAGAATTCAAATAAGCAAATAAATCAGTTAAACAGCTGATTAGACAAGTATAAACTAATACATAAGATAGAGCAAATCGCTTACTTTGCACCTCAATCATTTAATTCATATGTTGAGCATGATTTAGTCGAATTTTAAGTGAATTAAAATTTACAAGGGGTAATCAATATGCCAAGGAAAGATTCAAATCTCAAAAAACTTTCAACTTGGCAACTAAAATTCACATAATTGTGAAACGTAGATGAAAAGTAATTTAAAACTAGAGCTTAAGTGATAAATCAAACAATTTATGACTTACTACAAAAAAAAAGTTCACGATGATCTTCTTAACAAGCTTATTCATGCACAGCATGTAACGAAATTAATTTAGGAGAAATTGTAACACGTCATAATTCTTGCATGTTTTAGTATCAACCGATTGTGAAGCCCTATTGAAGAAGTTCCTGGCATTAAATCCTACAAAACGATACACATTGGAGCAAATAATGAAAGATAAATGGATGAACCAAAATGAAGAAGAATTGAAGCCATATCCAGAGGGATCAATTGAGATGAATGACCCGAAAATTATTGATTCACTTCTAACGCTCGGCTATAAGCTGAGTGAAATCGAGAAATCGCTGTCAAATCGAAAATTTGATGAAATTTGTGGGATATATTTATTGTTACAAAATAGTAATAGAAAATTAAGCAGATCAAAACCTGAAAGCATGACAAGTATTGCTAGTACAACAATGTCAGCTGCACCATCATCATCGACGATGCCATCGACACATTCGGTGCCTACATCCACAAATAATCATCCAAAAAGTGAAACGACAACAAACGGAGATGGACTTAAAGAGACGTCTTTTATGACAATGACACTTGATGACAATTCTAAAACTGCCAAACATTCAAATAATGATCCTCCTTCGCCTGAACCAGCCAACCTTAAACGTCAACATACAATCGGACCAGAATCTCTAAAGGAACGAAATGCAATTCGTCTTCATACCGTCTCGAATGCAAATCCAAATCTTCGACCAATATCAGCTACACCGAAAGGTGCTGGCGAGAGATCATTACAAAAGAGTCCCGTGAAACCGCTGAGAGCATTTAAACCTGAAACATCGTTAAGCACAACTGCACAAACTCCTCGTCGTCCAAATGTTAATGTTTATAAGAAAGTAGATAATACAAAAGATACAACTTCGCTAATTACACCTAGTTCAACAGTTGGAAACTCCTCGAGTTCGACATCAAGCAATGCATTTACGAGAAATGGCCCATCACGATATACATTTCATTCCGGACAATCACGTGTACCAACGAGAGAGCACAACACATTGGGTTCAAAAGCAGAGCCATCATTTGGAAAAGGGAACTTTCTTCAACGACTAACGACACGATTTTCAAAGCGATTTCGATTGAATGGAAAGCATCCCGCTACGACTGCAGCAACTACCACCGATAATTCAAACAGTAAATAAAAATTAATATAAAATAGGAACTGATATTATTGATATTAATAAGTAGAGTACTTTAATGAATCATAAAAGTACAACACATCCATCATCCATCATCAAAAACAACGGCTTGAACATTAAGTGTAATCATTACTATTATTCTTAGTTTATTATATTATTTTACGATGAATTTTGTGCATCCCAATTGTGGCTCGATCGCTATTAAATCCTCTGACAATGAACTTCTACAAAAAACCATAGGATCGGAGTAATATATTCATATTTACATAAATGTTTAAAATTTAAACGCTCTCACGAATTATTATTTTTCACTAATTTAATTATAATTTCCCTCTATTTCGTCGTCGTCTTAATTCTTATTTTTTTCTTTCGCTCATGATTAGATGATTAAAATAATTAAAACGTTTATTAAGAAGAAAAACACATTTTTAATGAATAAAATAATTTTTAGGAAACCCAAAATCCTGGTTTAGATTTCATTAATTGGGTCGTTAAAATTGATAGCAAAATTAACAAACATTAGCTTTTTAAAAGTATTGAATTTCAATTTTATAGGAAATATTTGCTATAAAAATTAACGGGTTTCTAATATTCAAAAGGCTTTTTTTTGCAGGATGAAAGCTGCGCACAGTTGTTTTTTGTAAAGGCGTCTTAAGTTGCAAATTTTACATTTAAAAAATTAAAAAACTTAGTTTTTCTCTAGCAAATAGCATTTCCACTATCTCAAAATGGTATGTAATCAATAGTTAAAAGTGTATATCATGTAGCTCCCACATAATAAGCTACAGAAATGCTGTATTTACAGCGATATTTTGTGTAGAATTTTTCGCCACGTTTTTAATGCAAGAAGTAAACAAAAATATTAATTAATTTACGTTTAGAGACCATTAATGCTGCAAGGACATGAGCGTTCAATTACGCAAATCTTATATAATCGTGAAGGAGACTTGCTGTTTTCATCATCAAAAGATAACAGACCGAATGTCTGGTTTTCCATAAACGGGGAAAGATTAGGAAGCTATAATGGTCATCAGGGTGCTATTTGGTGCATTGACGTTGACTGGACATCAACAAAATTCATGAGCGGCTCTGGTGACATGACATTGAAGTGAGTCTATTTATATTTACTGCTAGATTCTAGTAATATTTATGTTATTTAATTATTATAGATTATGGAGTGTCGAGACTGGAAAGAGTGTAGCCACAATTGAAACAAAATCATCAGTTCGTTGCTGTAACTTTAGTTTTTCTGGTAATCAGGCTGCATATTCAACAGATCGTGCTATGGGACAAGAATGTGAACTTTCTATTATTGATGTACGCACAATGGATTCTTCATTAAATGACGCTAGTCCTATTTCGAAAATACCCATGATACATTCGAAAATCACATCAATGAAGTGGTTCCTTGACGATACTATCATCACTGGTCACGAGAATGGATTGATTGCTTCATATGATATTAGAGTAAGTCAAAACTAATGCATTAAATTTATGATATTAATTTCATGATTTTCTTACAATTAGATGGGTCGCGAAATTAATTCAATCAAGGAGCACACACATGTCATTCAGGATTTACAATTGTCAAAGGATATGACAATGTTCGTTACGGCTTCAAAGGATGCAACAGCTAAATTATTCGATGTCGATACATTAACATGCTTGAAGACTTACAAAACAGAGCGACCTGTAAACTCAGCCGCAATTAGTCCAATTTATGAGCATGTAGCACTTGGTGGTGGCCAAGAAGCTATGGATGTAACAACAACTTCAACAAGAGCTGGCAAATTTGATTCTCGATTCTACCATCTCGTCTATGAAGAAGAATTTGCTCGTCTTAAAGGTCATTTCGGTCCAATTAACAGTTTACAATTTCATCCCGACGGTAAAAGCTTTGCAAGTGGTGGAGAGGACGGTTTTGTGAGAATTCAAGTTTTTGATCAGAGCTATCATGAATTAGTTTTTGAATAAGATCTAAGATATACCCATTTGTAAGATTAATCATACCGCAAAATAATGAAGAATTTTTCCAGTAATAAAAGTGAACAAAAATTTATGTTGATGGATGGACTGAAAGTAGCTTTTGTATTAATTTTCTATTATTGTAACAGTTTCAGGAATCATCTAAAGTATATGTTCGTTTATAAGCAACTCTGTTGACCGCCTTGCAATCCCTTAAAAATACTTAATTTAAATCATTATTAAATCTCTTTTCCGTTATTTTTTATTGCATCTTTCTGTTAATTAATAATTTTGTAGCATCAAAAACATGCAGAGCGAAGAGAACTATACAAGAAGAAGGGATTGGTTTGATACTCATGGTGGTAAAAGTATCAATTTTAAGAGTAAAATATCACGAACTTCACCGTATCAACTACTTTTAATTCCTATATTATTAACTTAAGCCAATTTTCATTCATATCACTTGTTTGTTTTTTTTTATTCCTATTCCTGCCTCATCTAATGCACATGTAACAATATTGTTAATACTCGTTAATAGCTAATGCATCAATTTTTTTTTTCTTATTCCAATCGACTCGTGCCCATTTAAGAGTCATGCTGCAGGTCTCTGTTTTTTTTTACTGCCTTTGCTTTCCACTGAAATATTAAATTTACAAACACGAGGCTTAAGATGGAAACATTATACTATTATTTACATGTACATGTTCATCAGTGCATATGGTTTTGTGTGAGAAAAGATAGAAATAAAAAAATCCTTGCCATCAGCTATGAAAAAAATAGTCAATAGTCTTTGTCGGCTAATTAAGCTATTATAAAAAATCTTACTTGCTTTTAACTTTAGCTGATCTTTGCATGACTTTAAAAAAACTTTTGTCTTAATTTGTGAATGAATGAATAGAGGCAGTTTTGTGTATTATCTAATCGACGAGTCATCTGAGGAAGATATACGATTGATAACTAGTTGCTATCATTCAGGCGATGACACTTTGTGTGTAATTTATTTGATCGGAATTGATTTATGTTTGATTGATTGTGTGGGATGAAGTTAACAGATAAGATAAACAACTGCAAGGTGATTTTGATGGTATAATAAGCGTAACGATGTATTTATAAACAAGATTGAGTTTTTTTGAGCGAGCAAACAGATCTTTTCAATGGGAACCATACAAATGTTTTAAACACGTATGATTTTGAATTTGTAAGGTTTTGAAACACAATAAAACACTTGTAATGTTTTTAATTTTAAAACAAAACATTTGTACAGTTTTACCGAAACATTTAAGACTGTTGTATGGCTTTTAAATAATTCGAAGCTACATATTTGTGTTTTAGAAATCCGTTAAATATCAAAACATCCATTAAATTCAAATATAATTGAATTTGAAATTGAAAACCATTTTTATTTTCCAATTATTGTCTAGTCCTATTTATTATCTGAACCATTACTCACTTTGATATACATCCAGAAGAGGCCTGCCACCTTTGCTTAAATTCACCATCTTTGTACACTCACTTTACACTGCTTTACACATGCATTTTAAAAGCATTAAAATTCTATGGGTCCTCGATTTGAATAACGAAAAATAATGAATAGAAAATTTAAATTTTTTCTTTGTAACGGACATTTTTCATACAAAAAGAAAATAATTCGATTTGAGTAGATTCGATTTGAATAGGACTTTTCTGGAACAAAACACCTACTCAAATCGAGGACCCCCAGTAGTCAAAATTAGCGACATTAACAATTTATTATAAAAATTGATAGAAATGAATATGAAAATGACTTTTTATGAAATAAACTTTAAATGCTGTAGTGTTAAAAATCGCAAAGAAATTGTGCCTTAAACAGACAACCATAAGTAATTTACAATATATGACAATTACCAACAATCATAATAATTAGACAGATTTGCTGGAGAAATGAAAATGAAATGGCAAGCAACAACAAGTTTAATGCATTTGCGATATTTGAATATAATAAAAGTGAATTTAATTTCGCATTACCGACCAATGTTATGCATGTTAAATGATCTGAAACGATAGTCGTGTATTATGAATGAAATTATCGATTGTTAAGCTAGGACTACATCATTTTCATTGTCGCAATCTGTTGAAATTAACAAGCTCTATTATCTCCATACACATGTATACAAATAAATTTGGATGACATCTCAAGATTTAAATCTCTTTGTTTATTTCCTACACACAATATGTGATACACAAAAATCATATGCGACATTAATCCACAGTAACATTGAAAAATTAAATCAAATCAATGATCAAGTGTTAAATTGGTGGTGAGAGATGCCGAAAGAGGCAAAGTCAAAATAATTATTACAAGGCACATGCTAGTCCGAAATTGAAAAACGTGAGCGAATTGTGAGAGATGGAAGAAGTGAGAGAGCGAGAATATGAAATAAAAATTGGGCACCCACGTAGGATTCACACATTGAATATGAAGCACATTTCGTGATGTTGATTAGCACTAACTTATATTATTTTTCAACGATATTATTAATCGATGTATTAGGCACTGGTTGTTGTAATAATATTTTTAAACATGATGTGAATGGGTTGGCGTTGTAAGGATTGGAACAGATTGTCTTTTTGGTCAGTTCTTATTGCGTTTGATTCCTTGTTAAATTTGAATTCATTGCTTTGTATTCTGGGGTTGTTTTCTTATGTCGTCCGGCAATGTGCTACTAAGAACCTCCCTCGCTATTACAATTAAATCTCATGAACTCTAAAGACGCGAGACTTGCAGACAATTCAGAATTTTTCTGCATCTTTTATGGATCTTTTTGCATCACTTGGAATTTTCTGCGTCAGTTAAAGTTGACGCAAAAGCTATAATTCATATATTTTGCATCATTTTGGCTTTTGCTTCTTATCTTTCGCATCATTTTGCTCTTTGCATCTCTCATTTGAATCCTAGAAAACCGTTAGAAATATCCAAAATTGTTCATCTAGTTCTTCGATCAAAATAAGTTCTATTGAAAGCTTATGTCATCAAGGAGTGCAATCAACATCCAAAAAATGCGTCATATCACCATCTGACATTCCACAACTCGTTTATTATTTTCTTCTCTCATCTCTTATTTTGCAGAGCCAACGATATAAATATGGCCATACTGCAAAGGCTTGTTTACTTACGATTTTTTTCCTTTACTTCGTGTCTTTTTTTCTTCTCTGCTTAACAGCAGCAGCAGCTCTGAACTTCAAATGTATACATACAATATATTAAAGTTTTTTTTCTTCTCAATTCCATTCAACAGGTTCGATGTGAGAAAAAAATAAATATGGTCCAGTCAGTCGTCGATTGTCGTAACGTGCGGATATAAAACTTAAAAATTTTTACTTTTGTTATTCGCGAGCTTTTTTTCGTGTTGTTTTGGGAAAATTGTTTTATTGTTGTTCGTGCGCACATGGTTAGTTGATAATAAGATTTGGGGAGGGGGGGTGAGGAATTAAAAAGGATGGTTACTGAGCGGGATGATGATGGAATCGATTGACAATTGTTTGACATTTTAATCAACCAAAAATGCAAATTTAGTGCGATTTCAGTTTCATCCCGCTCAGAACTTGAAAAAAAAAATTGAGTGAAATTTTTCAAACCCAGAAAGTTCGATCTGTGCAAAGGATAAATAAAAATAGCTCCATATCAAAGGACAATCACACATGTCTGAGTGCCTCGTCTGTCTTCCGATTGAGACAGTATTGAAATTAATTAATTGTGAAATGCTAGTAGAAAAAAAAAAATAATAAAATATAAAATATCAGATTCTGGTTTCGCCTCATTTTCGTATCCATTTATGGATATTTTAGCTGGTCGTTGATGCTTCAACTTAGCTCTCGATCACAAGCTTGTTGGTAAGGTCGAGAAATTTCAATCAATTTTACTACGCAAAGAATCATTTCGCGGGATGTGATGTGTCAAAAAAGTTTCCGTTAAGGAAATTGGGGACAATTTTTGTGTAGTGCTGTGACTTCCAATTCTGTGTCTTACTCATTCCATAATAAAAAAAAAATCAGGAAATTTTAATTTTATTTCGACCAACCATGAATGAATTTTAATTTTAAATATTCTCTTCATCTTCTGTTCTCGAGTAGTCATACAGATGAGTGTACATCCAGATGTATGTAAGCTTGCCACCCACTAGCAAAAAAAGCTTTGCGTATTTTCAATAACAAGAGCCTCGATATTCGGGGAACCTCAATGTCTACAAACAATTATGTCATCAAATGTTTTAATAGTTCTTGCGAATAATCGTACCTTTATGTGTATGTCGTTTGATAAATATTTGCATTATGCATAAAAATTGACAGAAATGTGTGAAAATGTTTTTATATTCGTAATTATGACGTAGATTTTGTTTTGAATGTGATAGGTATTTAATTATATGCATGTGGATAGTGTGCTTGTGTGACAATTAGTGACTGAATAACAACTTTATGAATGAATCATGAAAGCTTATCTAATTTTGCGAAACTGAAATGTGCAAAATATAGTATAAAAATATGATTGGAAATTTGAATTTCAACGTTTTTGAAAATTTTGAATTTTTATTTTTCGCATCTTTATTTTTTTGCTTCTTTTGGTTTGGTTTATAAAAATTCGCATCATTAATTCAGTTTTATGATTTTTTAAAATAGCATCTTTTTGAATATTTCGCATCCCTAAGTTCTGCATCCTTTTTTGCGTCTTTGTAAAAGTTCTGAAATTTTGAATCGACAACATTTAGGGTCTTTCCTTACTACCTAATACAAAAAACTAGTTCTTTGACTCTGTCGCTCCCCTTATAAGCAAAACGTAATAAATAAACAGCCCCTTTTAGAATTTAATTGCTTTCGCATCTTCTCTGCATCATTTGCAAAACCAGATTTGCTTAAAATGCTAATATGATAATCCTTAATAACTTTTATCTCAATCACTCATTCATTTCCAGTTTTAACAACTTCAAATTCAATTTCCATATTGTTCATGTCATTTCTAAACGTCAATATGATCTGATTTTAATTTATGCAAATAACAAGTTATTGAAAGAAAACTTATTACTGATTTAATCAAATCTTTATTGGATTTTCCCGTAGCTAATTATGTGCGATTTTAAATT